AGTTTGGATCCATTCAAGATGATATAGACAAGATACAAATTGTTACCAGGTTCAACCCACCATTTTTTCTTAAAATTTCCTGTACCAAATCAGGTATATGACAGTTGTTATCTAATGGTTCGTTTCTATGTATGTTGCATTGGCTTTTTTTGTTGCAATTCAGTGTTCTGTTATTTCGTTGTTTTCCTCTTATAGTTAATGTGTTTCCCTCAGATTTAGTTTGTAACCCAGATTTTTTTTTTCTCAATCGATTTATAAATTTTGAACAGCGGTATACTACTGTTGCCTTTATTGGAAGACAAAACTACTGCTAAAACCAGTCATATCCAGTACAATTATAAAAATGAAAGTATTCCAGTATGACATTTCTTTTTCATGTCGGATTTGAAATAATTAATACGATATCAAAAATATTAAAAAAAAAAGTAAAAATAATTGTGTATATTTTGGACGACTTCAATATCTTTAATAAAAAGGCTGCAAGAAAAATAGTAAGTTTTCCAATGATATGAGTATATCAATGTAAAAACGAAAAGTCATTTCAGTCATGACAGGTGATGAGTTTCGTTTTGATGAAATTAACACTAGGTCGACGAAAGACTTTCCTTTGATAAGCTTGCTAAATCACAATCTAATAGTTGTAGTATTATAGAAGGAAAACATTACACTGATTGATCTTCTGGCTATTTCATTGGTACTCTCAACTTTGCTTGTGCAGTTGCTAAACCAGGAAGGGTATGTCTGAGAATACTAATAGATTATCATTTACCTGTGTATAATATGACGTAATTTTTTTCATAGTTGATGTTTTTCTAAAAATTGTTTAACATTTCACAGCGGTTTTTTACTTTTACCATAGTTTAAACCTATTTATTTACTTTTTACCTTAATTATTCATCCCTTATTTTTACTATGTATTTGCATTGTATCACAGATCAAATTTATTCGTTCATTGTGTGTTAATTTGTGTTACAGAACTACGTTTTTTGATTGAGTTAAGCCTTCCATTTGAAATTTTATAGTGTTTTTTTCTATGTTGTGATGTTATACTACAGTTTCAGAAAAGGGAGAAGGTTTGGTATCATTAAAACGTTTAATACCGCTGCAATAGTTTGCACCTGTCCTAAGTCAGGAATCTGATGTTCAGTGGTTGTCGTCTGTTTATGTGGTTCATAAGTGTTTCTCGTTTTTATATAGATTAGACCGTTGGTTTTCCCGTTTGAATGGTTTTACACTAGTAATTTTGGGGGCCCTTTATAGCTTGCTGTTCGGTGTGAGCCAAGATTCCGTGTTGAAGGCCGTACCTTGACCTATAATGGTTTACTTTTATAAATTGTTACTTGGATGGAGAGTTGTCTCATTGGCACTCATGCCACATCTTTCTATATCTATAAACAATAGTGGGTGGTAAAAAAATCGTTCATAAAATCAGAATTATTGAGACAGTAAGGCAAATTTGTACATTGCTGTAGTTGTTTGGGTAAATCTAATGTAAAGTCATGGATTGCTATATCAGACCGTTGGTCAACATCTAGTTACGATTGTTCACAGATGCATATTGGTGTTTTGGCCAATGAAACCAAAAAAAACAAAAACATATTCAAAAGTAGCAACTAGTTTTAGTTTTATCCCTTAGTGTTGACTGTTGAAATATAGAGTGACATATTTCAAAGACATTGCATAAATTTTCAACAAGGCAACAAAGCTTTATAAGCTTATTAACAAACACACATCAATAAATATGTTTTTGATAAGGTTTATAGTCCTACACGACCTGATAAACAATGTGAACTTTAAGGTAGATGGGGGGTCTAAATTAAAATCCATAGAATTTTTTAATAATTTGTCAAAATGTAGTTTATGTCATACTTTTTTCAAAAATATAATAAAAAGTATGGGTCACCGTGCTTTTTTTTACGCTACAGGTTGTGCAAAACTGTCAGATTTTGTATAGATTATGCATGGAAAATCCAATTGTGTGTGATAAAAAGAAAACTACACCATAGAAAATATGAGAAGATAGCTCTATTGATATGCTTTCAGATAAGAAAAAGAAAAAATGGGGTCACCGGACTCATTTTCTTGCTACATAATAAAATAGGTAAATTCACAACACATTCTATTATAAAAGTTACTTTATCTGAGTTATGTCCACTTATTTCTGAGTTATCTACCCTTATGTGGCAAAGTTGGAAAAAAGTGAATCAAACAAAAATATTCTGTTTTTTGTAAACTACAGCCGTAAATATGATAAAACACATAATTTTCTATATTAATATGACAAGTCTTACACATAAATTACATACTACTCCCGAAATTTGCACATTTCATTAAAGATCTAGACCAATTGCTATATGCTATTTCAAAATCCAAGATGGAGGAAGACACCCTAGCTACCTTAAGACCAAATCCAAACAAATGTATTGGCGATGCACTTTCTCGCCAGACAGTAAACACTTTTCATCATTTTGCACCATGGACGCTCTTTGCTTCTGCACCATTTCGCAATTATTCAGATTTGACAAACTTCAGAAAACAAACGAAATTTTAAAAACATGATATCCATATCTTGTTTAAAAAAAGATGTAAAAAACACTCGTCAACCATATTTTTTGTTTTGCTAGAGATACTGTCGTTAGTCTCAGACACCATATTATGCATTGCACTTTTGAAAAACAAAGCTTTTTTGTCAAGTTATCTGAAAATATGTGTCCGCAAATATTCATGATAGTTTTAACCATATAATATGCCATTGACCTGACCAAACTGATTCATTTATCAATGATTAGGTATTGAATTCAGTGCACAAGAAAGGAAAAAAATGATATAAGACTTTTAATGATAAGTATTGTTTTGAATCACTTAGTTAATACATTAAAACATACAATATCTAATAGATCTATGATCAAGTCGTATTCCAAATTATGTTTACACTAGCGAGATTTGCTTTAAAGAATTTATGAGATGAGTGTCAAAAACAAGAGTGACAATCCTGGTATTGGTTTTAATCAAGCTGCAATTATAAATGAAAAAGTGGTTATAAAATTCATTGACATCAAACATTTTGGAGGAATCTTGTTCGTTTAGGACTAAATACAACTCATAGAACATTATGTAAATAGAAATCCAATGCGATCACATTATAAATAAGAAAATGTGGTATGAGTGTCAATTAGACAACTCTCTATCCAAGTCAAAATGTATAAAAAGTTAACAATTTTAGGTCAAAGCACGGCTGCCAACACGGAGCCTTGGATTATACTGAACAGCAAGCTATATCAATCAATATAAAAACTGAGAAACGAGAAACACATATGAACCACACCAACAAACGACAATCACTAAACAACAGGCTCCTGACTTGGGACATGTGCATACAAATGCAGCTAGTTTAAACGTTTTAACATTGTATGTTAGACAATCGGGTCAATTTTATACTTTCATAATTTTTAGGTGTTTCTTGGTCGTATAGCTCTTCAACTGTTTTGGTTCTTATACATCCTTGGCCTTCAAATATCCGGCTTTGGCGTTCCTGATTAAGGTAACTCCACAACAGAGCTCCGAACACATGACATTTATAAAGTGTTGTGTTTATTTCTTTCTTTTTAGAAAATTAGTATATAACTCATAACCATAGGAATGATCGCACGAGTTTTGTATCATTTTTATGCCAGTATTACGGTCGAAAGGATTTATATCTGAATTTATAACTAATATTAATACTCGCAAAATACTGCCTACTCCAAATCCAGTTTCACTTTTAATCCGCTTTACCTGATTTACTTTTCAAAACCACACTTACAACTGAAGTTACTCTTATAATTTGTCAATGATTTATATATGTTCAAGTTCGAATTAAGTATTTTCATATCTGCATTCTAAATTAAAAATAATATTTTTATAATTGTTTAAACAGGAGATAACTTAATAAAATTTATAAACCTTGGTTTGGTCCAATTTAGTCATTGATCAAATAGAATAATCATGAATTGTACTATGATACCACAATCATGACAATGGTGTCATGAAATGATTAAAAATAATATGTCATATTTACCTACGCCAAAGTAAAGGACTTACCAATGTATCCATATAAGTTCGACTTTAATAAGTATATTCTCTTTTTGAGTTGCAACAAATTAATGCTTTATCTAAAAGTGATATTAATGTGTCATTCAGGATTGACGTATCAGAGAAATATTACACAGACATGATATGAGCGCATATCCCCTTTGACGCCCAAATAATAATTACATTATACTGGAAAGCCCTAATTTTAACATTCATTAACCAGAAGTGAAACCACGGGTTGCCACTGGATGCACGTGACTACGCTCTGAAGTTAGAAAAAAATATGCACTATATAGACTGAAATTCAATTTTTTTATTTATTTAAAACTTAGTATGTCTTGTCATTCTATTTTCAATACAATATATTTTCCATCAAGTTTGTTTTGATTTTTTTTATTACTTGTTACTGGCTTTGAACTAGCTGTCAGTAACTGCGAGTACTCTCAGATCTGTACTTAGTGTCTTTTGTTGTTGGGATGTACAAGTACCCGGACACGTCCACTGTGTGTTTTTGTTAGATGTATTTCTATTTGTATTCATCTGATGAGTTAAGCCTTTTTAAACTGATTTTTATAGTTCGTTCTTATGTTGTACTGTTACACCACTGTCCCAGGTTAGGGGAGGAGTGGGATCCCGGCTTACATGTTTAACCCCGCCACATTCTGTATGTATGTGCCTGTCCCATGTCAGGAGCATGTAATTCAGTCGTTGTCGTTTGTTGCTGTGTTACATATTTGTTTTTCGTTCATTTTTTGTACATTCATTAGGCCGTTACTTTACTATGAGGTATGGGCTTTGTTCATTGTTGAAGGCCGTACGGTGACCTAAAGTTGTTAATTTCTGTGTCATTTGGTCTCTTGTGAAGAGCTGTCTCATTGACAATCATACCACATCTTCTTTTTTATAATTGATAAACAAGTTCAAGCAAATGCATTTATATATCATTTAATAGTGCGAGTCTTCTGATTTGATAATTAATTGATACATATGGGACAATCAGTCTTATCTAATTGATCATCTTCACACTAGTTGCTTAATTATCTTGGTCACATAAATGATTGCATTACTATCTTTATTGTCTAAGAACGGAGCATTTCCTATTAACAAATAGCCTTCATTGTCTATACACAACGAACACGGTCGCTCAATGTTATGATCATTATCAACAAACTGCAGTGCAAGAAGTTCTCCTCTGGTATTCATAACATACAATGCGTTGTTTGAGTGGTCTGTAAGTATAATGTTATCGCTTGGGGTAATGGCGATTCCATTGGGAAAGAATGTTTGTAAATCTGGATTACCATTGTATGTAAATTTCAGACGACCGTTTGTGTCTACTGCCACTATTCTACCGCTTTGATTTTTGTCAATCCAGTCGGTTACGTACAATACATTTTTAGAGTCTGTTTTGATACGGGCAGGATAGCTAAACAGTTTTATTCCTTTTTTGTCGGCCTCCAATATCACTTTTCTTTTATAGTTATTGTCAAAAATTACAACTTGTCGGACGGAAAAATCTTTAACTGGAAAAGGTGATCCATGTTCTCTAAATCCAACTATTAAATCGTTGTCACGATTAACATGCAGGGCAGTTGGTCTCATTGGAGAAGTTTCTAAAACGGTCTTTATTTCGCCAGTATCAGTTAAACTATATACATTGTCATGACCTACCTCATCGAAAACAATTTCACCTTCTGTATTTACCGCAATGTCAAATATTTGTTTTTCTAATGTTTGTAATATCCTGATTGATGATTTTAACATTTTGCCCTTAACCAATCGAGCGTTTTCCTCTATATTATGATAGATTAAGTATACATAATCATCACCATAGCACAATAAAGAATTAATAACAGGTACTGTGGTTGTGTATGTATTAAAAACTGAAGAAATTACCTCCGATGCAACCTCCTTTCGAGGAGGATTATCTTTACAAATATCGTAAACAGAGACGATTTCATGATTCTGAGCAGATTTTAGTCGCTGATGGATTTTCTCCTTACATGACGTACACATAAATACATCACATTCTTCACATTTCCATTGTACTCCTTGTTTATTACAAAAATGGCAGCAAAGTGGGACTTGAGCTTTTCTCAAACTAGCCGACTTCGACGCCATTTAAGTCTAAGCAGATTTATCATGTTTATGGCTAGCGATTTCCTTCCTCGTTTATTTAATGTGACGCATATTTAAAGTTATTTATAGTTGGACAGCTGTAATTTGTTTAAATTCGAAAAGTGAACGACATTTTTTTGTATTCCTCTGCTTAAGTAACTATTTTCTATTTTTTTTAATTTTAGTACATTAATGAAAACATTTAAAAGATAAAAATATTCAAGTATTTAAGAAAATTTTGATACAAAAATCGAACAATAGGCAAAAATAAATTATTTTTTTTTCAAGAACGAATGAATTTTTTTAGATAAGTATCTATTATTATTTTCCCTGTTAACGTGATAATTTTCTTATAAAATGGTGCTCTGGCCCAGAGGCGGATTTAAGGGTTTTCCAGGGGGCCCGCCCCCTCCTTTTATGAAAATTTCTGGATCCGCCACTGCGGCCAACATTTGCATAATGTGACATCGGCAAACGCATTAAATGAAGAAAACATACTTATTCTGAAAATTTCACTTTAAAAAAATGTAGTCTCGATTTATTAGGTTAAGTCCCAGTATTCACTTAGTAAGTTGAAAACAATATGATTGATGGAAATAAAATCATTTTTGTTTTTTATTTCATTCTTTTTATATTGATACCCTATGACATTCTTCTATACGTCATTAGATTGAAGCGAATTGTAAAATATTTTAAAAACAAAATAAACCAAATATCAAGTAGGTCTGAAATAATTTGAAATACTAGTTAGGACTCGAAGTAGCAGAAATTCAAATAATACCGTATGATCGAGAAGGTGATTCGTTTTAGAAGGGAAAAATACTTTAGACGATTCCTCACTGTTTAACCACAGATTTTTCAGATCTTGTAAATAATATCTTTAAAAAATGCGTTCGTAAAACTTAAATCCGAATTAAGAAACTAAATGTGTCTATCAATACCCACGCTACGTCAATTTTTAAAGACCCAAATGTTGCAAAACACTTGTCCCACCTCCATGACAAATATGTTGTTGTCCCCGCAGATAAAGCCCCAAACAACATCGTTTTTGTGTGTAAATATCATTACATAAACTGCTTGATACATGAATTAGGTATTGACATATCACTTGGAAACTCAACATATACCCTCACGACACTTACCAAAGAGGAAGTTCTGGATAATCATAGGTCTGTTCTAATTCCTTTGGAATTTCAACCAAAGATGAAGAACTGGATCTTCCATCACTGTATTGAATATCTAAACTACATAAGTGTCCTTACAAACAACGGTATATTGCTGGGTCTTCCAAGTGCTCCACGAAACCTCTTTCTAAATTATTAACATCTATTTTATCAGCAATCAAAGCCGGGCTCCAAAGTTATTGTGAAACTGCCTATTCTAGAGGTGGCGTGAATCAGATGTGGATACTAAAAAATTCCAAAGATCTTTTAGAGTACATACAATCTAAGACTTTCTCATCTTGCAATAGTATTAAAACATTTGACTTTTCTACACTTTACACAATTATTCCCCATTCCAAACTAATAGACGAATTGAAAGAGTTGGTATTACTTTGTTTCATTAAAAAGAATGGCGAACGTAGATACAAGTATCTTGTCTTGGTGATGGGATAAATCCTACTTTGTAAAGAATCACTCTGATTCAAACAAAAAATTCTCTGAAACTGACATTATCAAAATGCTTGATTTCTTGATTGACAACATATTTGTTACGTTTGGAGGACGTGTTTTTCAACAGACTGTCGGAATTCCAATGGGAACCAATTGTGCCCTTCTTCTTGCCAACTTGTTTCTTTATTATTATGAGGCTGACTTCATACAGGAACTTCTTAGGAAGAAAGATAAGAAGTTAGCAATATCCTTTAACTTTACGTTCCGCTATATAGATGATGTTCTCTCGCTAAATAATACAAAATTTGGTGACTATGTTGAACGAATCTATCCCATCGAACTAGAGATAAAGGATACTACAGATACAGTTAAGTCTGGCTCATATCTTGATTTACATCTAGAAATTTACAATGAGGGTCGGCTGAAAACAAAGCTTTACGACAAAAGAGATGATTACAGCTTCCCATTTGTGAACTTTCCATTTCTATGTAGCAACATTCAAGCAGCACCTGCATACGGAGTATATATCTCCGAATTGATACGATATTTTCGGGCTTGTATTTCCTATCATGATTTCCTTGATAGAGGATTGCTGCTCACAAGGAAGCTATTAAACCAAGAGTTCCAAATGGTGAAGTTGAAATCATCCCTTCGTAAATTTTACGAACGCCATCACGAGTTGGTTGACCGTTATGGAATAACCATTTCACAGATGACATCGGATATGTTCCTTATGTCGTAACTACAATACCCTTCCCTTTTCACGAATGTGACCTACCGAATTAGACTATTTACCGGATTTGTAATAACATAAGCAACACGACGGGTGCCACATGTGGAGCAGGATCTGCTTACCCTTCTGGAGCACCTGAGATCACCCCCAGTTTTTGGTGGGGTTCGTGTTGCTTAGTCTTTAGTTTTCTATGTTGTGTCATCTGTACTATTATTTGTCTGTTTGTCTTTTTATTTTTGGCCATGGCGTTGTCAGTTTGTTTTCGATCTATGAGTTTGACTGTCCCTCTGGTATCTTTCGTCCCTCTTTTACACATGTAGTAAATTGAAATTGAGGTTGAAGCCACTAAACATACATTTGTTTTTAATTCAATAATCAGAATGATTGCATTAAGGATTTGGATAGTAATACAGTGTGCATATCCTTCATGTTATGAGGCCAATAATATACAATAGCTTTTTTCGGCATACGTATCAGCATATCAGTCTTCAGTGTGCATAGCAGCAGATTCTTACCATGTTGACGCATTCGGTATCGCTCATTTTGGATTTCATGCGATTCTTTCAGTTTTTGTTTGCAACCTTGATTTGTATCTTCTTACTCAACTAACTCATAAGAGATTCTAACATCGTTTAACTAAAGTTGCTTAAATTTATCGGATCAATTATCCGACTTTTTGAAATGTAATCTTTGGTTTACTAGTATTAAGTTTCAAAAGTTTTTGTCAATAGGGCAAAATCTGTATTCAAAGAGTACAAGTTAATACCCTGTCATCCACCATTGATCATAACATCATTATCCAAATAACGTTTATACATGCCAATGGTCTTCGGTATAAATTGAAAACATCACTGTTTAAATCGTGTCTGAAGTGATATTCGCTTCAAAAAGTTTTTGAGTCATCAACTGGTGTGTCAATAGATGGTTGGTTACCGTAACATATTGCTATGTGTGATGAAGTTTTGGCTGAAAGCAAGCAATTTACTTATACAACGTTTACGATATTTCGGTATTATCATTATGTTTGCTTAAATCAGTTAAGTTAAAAGACAAACGTATATGATATTCGATTTTTGGGCATTTGGTGTCCCTACTATTCACTAGAGGTCTGCTGTATTTCTATATCCCTTTATCTCTATTACATAAGTTTTAATTGTTCTTCCATCTTTTAGTAGGCAAGTTGTGTGCCTCATTTGCTACGGACTTTTATGGATTTGTGAGCATTTTCTGTCATTATTTCTGTGTCCTTAAGACCATGGTGAGATATGTATGCATTGCCTCATGTTCAGTGAACCGTGAACACTCTTACTTGGGATACACATTTGTTCCCTTCAAAATGAACATGTGTTAGACGTTTCAAGTTGATGTGACCTTAAAATTTAACTTTAAGCTTTAGACATTAGAATTTTAGAAATGAAAACGATTGAGGTCGATCCCGATTCGAAATCACGTCAAATAACAAAGTAAACGCTTTGGAAAGAGTAAAAGAAATCAAGAAATTAAAAATGCTAAAACTTTTGTTTCGACCTTTTATAAGAAAACTACTATGCAAACTCTGTAATAAGATGTTTGAGTATTGTATATATCGGTACAAACATTCTTTTTGATTTTTGGTTAAATAAAACATAATTTGACTTCATAGGTGTTGACTTTTCTCAACACTTATGGTCCTACATCCTGACGATACTGATATTTCACAAAAATAGTTTTTTTATTAGTTGAAATTGGCCGTTAACTAGCTTTTATTAGCTGCGAGTACTCTTAGATCGGTACTCTGTGTTTTTTACTTACCGGCCTTTCAAAAATACAGTCCTTATTATTATGATAAGACCTAATAGGCGTGTTGATTCTGATTCTTTTGTTTTCTTCAATGGTAGTATTTGCCCAGCAGCTGTGGCTATCATAGCTAGCTTCCTGTAGAAGCAAACACATTTTGAAACTGCATTCTTAATTTATGTATCGTCTTTTATTTCCTTGTTCTAGTTTATGGTCAAACTTTTGTTTGCTGTATTGTGCATGTTTTAGTTCTATGTTTTAAGTTTACGTAACATGATTCTTGATTGGCAAAAGAAAAGTAAATGTGAAAATAAAACTTCAACCAACCACTTGTGTGCCTCTACCAAGTGTGGCTATCTGAACCATATGTTGCTTGTTGTTGTTTGCCTTTGTTTATGCACTGTTTTAATAGTCGGGAGTTGGTGGTTGGTGTGGTCTTTTGTTCATTCCATATTTTTATGCTATCCTTTTTATGTATTGTTATGATATTGCATTGGCAAATAGCAAATTAGGCAAACTGCTCCTAAGCCAATGACCTTGTTCTGTTGTTTGTTTGTGTATAAAAATAAGAAGATGTGGTATGATTGCCAATGAGACAACTCTCCACAAGAGACCAAATGACACATAAAGTAACAACTATAGGTCACCGTACGGCCTTCAACAATGAGTAAAACCCATACTACATAGTCAGCTATGAAAGGCACTGAAATGACAAATTTAAAACAATTCAAACGAGAAAACTAACGGCCTGATTTATGCAAAAAATAATGAACGAACAATAAATATGATAAACAGCAACAAACGACAACCACAGAATTACAGGGTCCTGAATTGGGACAAGCACATACAGAATAAGGCGGGGTTAAACTAGTTTGAAGGCGCCAATCCTCTCCTATCTTGGGACAGTGGTGTAACAGT